GTAAAGTGACCCAATTCGTGTCGTACCATAAAAGCTTGTTCCTTTACTTTCTCTATTACAACCACTTCATTCCTAAGTTTGGGTCAACAAAAAAGATATTTTGGACTTAGAATCTAAGGCAATCATAGTGTTACCATCTATCACTTGGACACCATTGAATTGAGCTCCACCCACAACGCTTTCTTGGCTCTCGAGTGGAGTCCAAGTCAGATTGAAGTGTGCCATTGGATCTTTCAAAATGATACGAGTTGGACTGTTGATGATCAATTGAGGAAATTCGAGTTGATTAAATGATTAATCAACAATAATCCAAGTCATATCATTTTGAAATATCTAATGACACTTTTCAATTAAACTTGATAGTTAAGAAAACATCGTGGGTAGGGTTCCATGCAATGGTGTCCAAGTGAAAGATACCGATATTGATTTATCTTCATCTTAGATTTTGGGTCCAAAATATTCACTTAGTAAACTTGAACCTTAGGAACAAAGTGATAATAGTATAACAAGTAAGGAAACAACTCTAGTGGCATGAAACGAACTCCATCACTTTGTCACCATTGATCCCTTTGACCTGACACGCCATCACATTCTTATTGGACCTATTCACATTCTTAGTGATCCAAATCACCACATTACAACCCAAAAGAAAGGTATCAAAATCGATAATATCCTTAATGGAGCCCATGTAATGCTTGGTCTCGCCTGCACTAGGTGCCCTTTTGTACTTGTCCAATGAATCCATATTCATCTTGTTTATAAAGGAGTTTTCAAAAACCTTGAACATGCACTTTAACTCCTCAACCTTCAAAAATAGGAAAGACAATTTGCCTAAAATAGATCGGGGAAAAAATGACCTTAGTGGCATTTTATCCTTATATCAGTCATCAACATAATGGTTCTTTTCTTAAGCATTTTCTTGCGAGGGAACTTACCCAATTCAATCCACCTTTTACCAAATTACCATTAATAAAGGAAAAGGTGTTGTAAATAGTGAGGAAAACGCCATTTGTGTTGTAATCCTTAAATGTGGTGTTAGTGCTAATGTCGATGACAACTCCTTTCAATCCTACACTAAGACTAAGAAAGAAGGAACTCAGGTGGATTTCAATAACTACAATAATTTTACAACCCCAAGTATGGACACTTTCATTGGCTACACTAAAGGAGCCCAAGGGTATCACAAAGTTGGTTTTATCGGTTATGACATTAATATAAGACATGATAAGTAAATTCGTACATGTGGATAATACCTAAACTTACCCTGACTTTGATAGGAAATACTTGATTTGACCGGATATGGGTACGAATAATACTTGATTTATTAAATCAAGTATGAGGATGGGGATGAATATATGTTTACCCGTCCCATACTTGTACTCGCTTTAAATTTTTAAAAACGTAATTTATTTTTTAAATTTTATTTAACATTTATGTAATTTTTACTCTATGTTAATATTATGTCAAATGAAACTTAACTGATGTAATTTTGTAATGGCTACTTTATGTTAAAATTTTTGTTTTCTTTTTTTTTTTTATTATAAATATTTAATTAATTTTTAGACAGATACAAATATACATGATAATTGACGGAGATGAGGATGAGAATACAAATTCCATACCTATCGAGTACATGAACGGGGACATGTATAGGATACAAGGACATGTATAGTGAAACTTGTACTCGTCTCATCCTGTTGCCATCCCTAGTTAATACTAAAATCACGTTTAAGGATTACTCCAAAAATGATGTTTCCTTCTCTACTTACAACACCTCTTTCTTTGTTAAAGGCAATTTGGTAAAAATTTTTTTGGGTGAATTGGATAAGTTCTTTTGCAAAAAGATGCTTAAGGAAGGAACTGTTATGTTGATGCCTAATAAAGGGATAAATTGCCACAAAGGTCATTTTTTGCCACTCTCTATTTTAACCAAATTACCCTTCTCGTCTTTGAAGGTTGAGGAGTTGAAGCCCAAGTTCAAGGTTTATAAAAACTCCTATGGACAAGATGATTATAGACTCACTAGGTAAGTGCGTGAGGGCCCCTAGTGTGGGTGAGACCAAGCACTATGTATGCTTTGTTGAGGATATGATTGATTTTGCAACCTCTCTATTGGCTCGCAATGTGGCATTTTGGATCACTGAGAATGTGAATATGTCCAATAAGAATGTGTTGGTAGGTCAGGTCAAAGGAATGTACCGTGGCAAAGTGACCCAATTCATTTCGTGCCACCAAAGCTTGTTCCCTTACTTGCTCTACTACTACCACATCGTTCCTAAGGTTCAAGTCCACAAAGCAAATATTTTGGGCCCAAAATCTAAGGCTAAGATAAATCATAATGTTGCCATTTTTAACTTGTACACCCCTGCATAAAGCCCCACCCACGATGCTTTCTAGGCTCTTAGGTCGAGTCCAGGTCAAATTGAAGTGTGCCATTGGATCTTTCAAAATGACACAACTTGGACTGTTCATGATTAATTGAGGAAACTAGAGTTGATAAATTGATTAATCAATAATAGTCAAAGTCATGATATTTTGAAAGATCCGTTGAAACATTTTCCAATTTTGGTAAAAATAATTATTTTTTTTTAATAAAAGACCCAATTTATATTATCTCATATATTAATTATTTTTGGACTAAAATACTCATAATTAAAATGTATTCTCTTATTTTTGTTAATATGCATTAATTATAAACTCTTTTAAGAGCATCCACTCTAATTGGTTAGAAGATATGCGTATTAATTAGGAAATAGAAGTAATATAAGGATAGTTTTAGAAAGAAATATATAAATAGGACAACTTTATTGATATCAACTAAATTAATTAGTTTTCTTAATATTAGTGAATTAAGTAATTGAATGTTATATATAGTAGGGGTGTTCAAAACCAAACCAACCCAAATAAAAAATTGCAAACCTATCCAAAAAATCAAAAACTAATAAAAAATTACACAGTTTGGTTTATTTTTTGGATTGAAATTTGAAACCACTTCAAACCGAATCAAACTGCACTTATTTGTAAATATATATATTTTTCCAAATGGTTAGTGTATGTATACAAAATTAATACATAAAATGTATTTTTATAAAATTGTAAGGTATTAAAAGGTATTTTCCCTCCAAATATATGTTATAATATTTAAAAGGCATTTAATAAAATTGTAAGCTACTAAATTGAATTTTATAAAGAAAAATTATGATTTATTTATAGTATTCAAAAATAATTTTTTTAACTAACAAACTATATATATGAGAAAAAAATAATTAATATGATAACTAAGATTGTATTAAAGAAATGTTTTTGCTAAAATAATAAGATAAGAATTGGTATTAAATACATTAAGTGATTGATATATTATAATATTTGCATATTTTTAGTTTTATTTTTTTTATGTATGGTTTAAAACAAATAATATAATATTACAAATTTTTAGTTGATTTTAAATGAAAAATTTTTAAAATTGCAAAATTCAACCCAAACCAAACTGCAAAATGATTGGTTTAATTTGGTTTATATTTCATAATTTATTTAAATCGAACCAAACTAAATTGTATTTAATTTTTTTTGTTTAGTTTGAATGACTTTTAAAGACAAAAAGTAAACTACACCACACTACAAACAGTCCTAATGTAGGAATGGAAGTAGTATGTATATATAAAAATTACATTTATGATAAATAATTTCTCATATTTTGTCTTCTTTTTTATCTACGTGAAAAAATTCTTATAACACATAATATTTTTTTTATAAATTAATACAAATCTAAAATAGTAAAAAAAATTATAGAAAAATAAAATAAAAATTATACATAAACTATTGTTATTATAATTATAAAAATAATAAAATAATACCATAAAACAAAAAAAAAATGAGAAAAATTTATAAAAATAAAATATTTGTACCCATGCATCAAGTATCAAATCTAACTTATTATAAAAAGTGTTAGAAGGAAAATTCTTATTTACATGTTTAGCTCATAAATAAACAAATTGCATAATGTGTAGCACATAAATAAACAAATTGCATAAGGTGTCATTCAATTTGAATTTAACAGTATGTCTGTGTCTGTGTGTCACTAATTAGTTTACTTCAATATAGTTTTTGTTATTAAGAGTGTGTCTTTTAAAATATACTACATGTAGTACAAGTTTATAATTTTAATTTGTTTTTTAATCTCATTTTTTCCCCCAATTTCTTCCTTTTGACCCTTATTTCTCTACATAACACTCAAGCAATTTACTATATTTTACTATAAATACATTTTAAAAAAAGTATTATTTTTATTCATTTCATAGTTAATATTAAATTGAAAAATATATAATTAACGTTAGTTGACATAAGTAATAATAATTTGTATTTCTTAGATATGTTGTTAAAAGTCAAATCTTAATGGAAAGTTGATATACAAAAGATTTATTTTATAATAATTATGGTTCTATAAGGGAAGAATTTGTTTTATAAGTTGTTGAACCTTAAACCAACGATGTTTTAATCGGTCCTATCAAATTTTAAAATTAGTCCTTTAAAAGAATATTGTTTCAATACTATGGGAAATTTTTTTGCAATAAATTATCACCGTCTTACACAGTTATGAATGATTTTTTTTCCAGCATATTTTCTAATCAAACAAAATTTAAAACATTTCATCAATTTATTTGGGCATAAGGACTCATTCTTCGTAAGTTTAGGCTCGGGATATTCATAACTATTATTTTATTTCGATGCAGACGCATGAATCAACCGGCACAGGTTAAAAGTTACATGCATATAATCCAAATGTATGTTAATTTGAAGCGGCAAGGTTGAAAGCAATATTTTTTTCTAAAAGAGGAAAAGACAATTTAGAGAAATTGTGGAACAATCACTCTTTAGCCATTTGCTTAAAGCTTGTGCCCCTTACGTTTAAATAACTCCAAAAGAGACACATTTCTACCTACTCTAGTGGGTGTCTTTTTGTGTTAAAATTGCACAGAATCTTCAAATATGGACCTGCATCTTTGTCATATTATTCTCCAATCTCCATCCTTGTACTTTTATTCATTTATTTATTTTTTATGAATGTTCTTCTTGGTGTGAACGAAATCTAAAAGTGGTACACTATGCTAATACAATGAGAAGTTTATATTAACCATTTATGTCAAAACCACCTACAGCCATTATGAGCAATATATCTAATAGCATGTTACATTTTTCTTGTTCTAATGTAATGAAATTTCAAGGGAAAAGTTCATTGCTATTGCTTCTTCTGCTGTTCATCACCCTTCATCTTGGGTGTTCTCAAACTTCTGTTTATAATTGTGTCCTTGATATTCAATTTTCTTCTGCATTGACTAGTCCAAATTGTGATTTGTACAATTGGGGAGGGTTTATCAATGGCTGTTGTGGACAATATTTTGGTGATTACCTATATGCTTTGGGGCTGAGGGCAAACCAAACTGGAAAAATATTCTTGAATTCCTCAGAACAGAAAAATTGTTTAGCATCAATAGAAGCTTTTGAGAAAAATTTCACTTGTTATGGGATAGAGAAGCTAACAAGTGGCGGTGGTGGTTGCTCTGATTTCACTGTCACAGACGTTATTAATCAGCTTGGAGACAACTTTAGGAGATTGGATGAAGATTGCATTTCTTTGAACATAAATAGCAGGCCAAATGAAACTTGCACTAAATGTTTGAAAGCATGGGAAGATATCAGTGAATCAGAAACTACAAGGGGATTGGAATCAGCAAATAATAGTGCTTATCTTTGTAGGTTTGCTGAACTTGTCTCAGTAACAAGCACAAGAATTTATGATAGGGAATCAATTCAGGAAGTGTATAAATGCCTTGGGAAATATACCCTTTCTACAGGTGAGATCTAAAACTAGAGCTAATTTAATTTTTTACTTTGATTAGCAACTAATGTTGAAAGAGTCCTTTCACTTTTCAATTCACCTATTTTACTTAGAGCTTGCTAGTTTCAACTTTTATTCATGAAAAATCACTTCTGAAAAAAAGGAGTGATTTTGCATCCTCAATGATAGTTTCTTTTGGTTTAACTCTTTCCTACTGGGTTGGCTCCTTTTAGGAATAAAGTGGTATTTTCAATTGCGACTTTGACTTTGTATCAAGATAGAGATTGAACTTCGATCCTTAGTTAAGGAACATGAGAGACTAACCATTTATACCGACAATTTTTGGTATCCTCAATGAATTTTGAACTTCAGCTAATCTTTTTTTTTTTTCCTGATACCACAGTTAACCAAGAAGTTAAGGCTAGGGGCAATGCTAATATCAAAACAGGTAGGTACTTATGTTCCGGTTCCTACCTGATATGATTTATGATGATTTTGTTAAAATGTCACAACAATTTTACAAAATTACAAACTTAGTCATGACAATTTTGTTGAAAAACATGAGGGAAACAGGCCTCTGGATTGCCTTTGGCATAACAGGAGTTATAGTTGTGGTGCTTCTTGCGGCACTTACATCATCTGTCACAAGAAAAAGAGCTCCAATCTTACAAGATGGTACTCAAGACAAAGCCTTTGTGAACTTTTATGGTTCTTAACCATCTATTTCTTTATCTTATATGACACCATCGAATTATCCAGAGTCTGATCCAACGTCACTGAAGATAACTTTGAGGGAAGTTTATGTAGCAACAAACAATCTCAGCGCTTCAAATTTCATAGGCCAAGGCATAGCCGGTAAGAACATGCCTCAACTTTTAGAATTGTATTTTCTATTCATCACAACAATTACAATTGAAAGACCTCTAATGTGTAATGTGTCCAACCAATGCCAAACTAAATCAAGGAAGACTTTATAGAAGTTATACAAAAAACCACATCTATATTTGACAACACAAACAAATAATACGGAAAATGATATAACCATGTAACCTAGGCTAAGTGAAGCTGCAAAATGAAAATATTTAAACACAGATTACATGAAATACACTCAAAAAGGAAGTCCTATATCAACAAGATGTGACATGATTGATAGATAACTTAGTTTCTTGAGCATGGAAAAACATCAAACTTGGTTCCTGTATGAGAAAACATTTATTGAAAGATAACAACTCCTTAACTGTATTTCAATACATTGAAAGATTAGTTCTTAGATTTCTGTTAGGGAATACCTTGATTTACAAAAAGTAATAAAAAGCGAGTCCTATCAACTGAAATGATCTTTTTCATTTTCTATTGGGGTTACTGCAGGAAAAGTGTACAAAGGTGTACTCTCCAACAATCAAGCTGTTGCAGTGAAGCATATCACCAATGAAGGTTACATGGAGACATTTGTAAGAGAAGTGAGAAGCCTTTCCCATGTAAGACATCAAAATCTAGTAGCTTTGTTGGGATACTGTGAAAGTGAAGCTGAATGCTTCCTAGTGTATGAGCTATGCCACAAAGGAAACCTCTCAGAGTGGCTATTTGGTATATTTTACCCCCATCTTTTGTCCATTCAATATTTCCTAAGCATCTTTTAGTAAAAGTTCTTGAACACAAAATTAATTCAACAGGCACTGGTAAAGTTCTCTCATGGATTCAAAGACTAGAGATTGCCATTGATAGTGCAAGAGGTCTTGAGTTTCTACACACCTACCCAGTTGGCTGCATAGTTCACCGTGACATAAAGGTACAATCTTTATCTTTCTACTATTCAGTTTTGAGTAAATACTTACTTTTGGTCCTTGAATTTGGAAGAGCGATCTCATATTGATCCTTGAAACCAAGAAATTCTCAAATAAGTCTTTAAAATATCAAATAAGTTCTTAAATTTAACTATGTATTGTCACTTTAGTCCTTGATTTTACATCAATATTGTCATTTAAGTTACACATTATTTTTGAATTTTGGACTTTCAAGGATCAAAATGGTGTTTACTCATTCAGTTTCGTTCTCTTATCTCGTTATTTATACATGTTGTATTGTCAGCCATCAAACATTCTTATTGATGCCAACTTCCAAGCAAAGCTTTCAGATTTTGGGTTGTCCAGGGTTATGGACCTTGGTCAATCCTATGTCAGCTCTGAAGTAAGAGGAACATTTGGTTATATTGATCCTGAATATAGGACAAATCACCATGTAAAAGCCTCAGGAGATGTCTACAGCTTTGGAATAGTGTTACTGCAACTTCTCTCAGGACAACGGGTCCTTAACATTGATCTCCAGAGACCAATGTCCCTGGGTAAAATGGTGAGAATTTGTGAACTTCATGAAAATCCAAACATACACTTGTTTTAAAATTGGAAAAAAAAAAGTAATTATAAATCATTAAACCAATTGGATATGTACTCAAATTAATCTCAGTTATAGATTTTACATCAGAAAATCAATTTTAAACTATTAACATAATTAGACAAATCTATGATTGAGATTAATTTGGATACATGTCTAATTAATAAGTCTTGATATGTCACAAACTTGGTCCATGAGCACCACCAGCTAACACTTGCACTGTTCCTCCCATGTCTTTGTAATTTAGGCCAGAGATGTTGAGAGAAGAGGTGATATTTCAGAATTTGCTGATCCTAAACTCAAAGGGGAGTACTCTGTTGAAGCGTTTGACATCGTACTAAAGCTGGCTTTGTCTTGCATAGGGCTCAAGCGACAAAGGCCCTCTATAGAACAAGTGTTATATAGCCTAGTAAAGGCACTCGATATCTCATCATAACTAAAATCTTCTGTAAACTGAAGAGTATAAATAAGGGCTGAAAACTGTTAAAAAGAAAGAGTAATGATCAAGTATTTTTGTGTAGTACAAAGGATGATACAATCTTATTCGGTGTTGAGTTTAGGGACTTAGTTTTACATTCTACGATTTTATTTGATGATTATTTTAGTTTCGAGACTAATTTGACTCTACCCAACATTTTCAGGATTAAAATGATTATTTAGCCTCCCTATATATAAAGTTACTTTATTTTTCATCTTCACCTTTTCTTTTTATATTTTTTTTAATATAAAGGTTAAAAATGAGTTTTAAAAATCCAATACGTAAAAATTCTACTATTTCTTATCTAATTATAAATAATAATAAAAAATTTATCTTAATTATAAGTAACAATTATTAATTTTTAAAGTTATTCAAAGTTATACTCTTTATTTATTAACTCTATTTTATATGCATTTATTAATAACTGGCATTAAATATAATAACCACCTAAAATAAAGGATATATTTAAAATAAAACTTGAATTTACGGTAAAATTAGTTAAAAGTACTATATTAGTTATTTTTAAATAAAAGATATATTTAAAATAAAACTTGAATTTATAGTATAATTAATTAAAAGTGACTGTATTAATTATTTTTATTAATCTTCATTTGTCATATATTACTTATAATTATAATTAAGATAAAAAGTAGTATATTACAATTTATTGGTTTAATTATGATTAAACCAGGGTAATAATTAAATAAAATTTTTAGGTATGTAACAAACATTTTCTTGATAATAATTTGCTAATTTGCTATGCAGTAGCGAGGTTTTAAATCGTGAATCACAACCCCTATTGCAATCACAATATTATTGATATGGAAGTATCCGCAACCGTGACAACATGCAATTACGGTGTGAAGCCAAGTCACAAGAAGAACTGCAACGTAAAATCTTAAGTGTGTGGTTCAGCGATAGAGATTGATTTACGTTTAAGCTAGATCAGGGTTAAAATCCTGTCTTATGTGTGTGTCTTATGTATGCAGTCACGTTAAATCTTGGGATTAGCTATTCTACCTTTTTTTTGAGGTGTCTCTAATGTAGCGAGGAGATTAGTTATTATTATCGGCGGTAGATACTTCAGGTAAAAAAAAAAAAAAAAAAAAAAA